ACAGTGAACGATATCGTCGCTCCGCTTCCGGCCATTCGAACTTGACGCCGTGTCGTCTAGGCGCCGTCCTTCTTTCTCAATCCGGTAAATCGGCGGACATGTTCCGTTTACGACTAAATCGTGCGCCTTGATATTTCAATTCCGCTTGCTCGCATGATTTTCCCCACCCTTCTTCATCTCCCATTTACTTCCATCACGCTCTCTTCCGAGGATCGAGAGCGTTAGGGCGAGGCGTCCCTCCGACATTTAGCTGATTATAAATGCATAGAGCAATCCCGTGGAATCTCGACAATTACCTCGGGTATTTCAAGCACGAGCGAATAAAAGTGACAAAATACTGCAAAATTACACTCGATGAAAAAAAAAAAAACGCAGCAATCACTCATGCACTTTCTTTTCAACTGTCTAAAAATCGATACACCGCGTTCGATTGAAGAAACGCAAATTTAACAATAAATGAAAATCACACTGATAGAATAATGATGTGTATTGATTTTTATTTCATTATTATATCCCACGATTGTGAGTCCTTTTTTCGACGAGAGATAGAAATATCTCTCTAACGCTAGGAAAAATAAAACCGATCTCGCGATTTTCTACCGATTTATGTATTCGCGGTGATCCTGCGTAACCCGGAACGAAATTAAAACCGTAAGCGCCCGGCAAACCCACAACAGAGAGCAGAGAAATATAATATCCCGAACGTATAGATTTACTATCGGCTCTTATTATATTGGACAATCGCATAAATATCGCGCATATTTAGATGCATTTTTTCCACGCATAGACTTGCCCGTAATGCTCGCGATCGCAAAGGACGATGCATAAAATTTTGATTAATCCTCATGACCGTGGTTTATTGACCGAGCAGTATTTATGCTTTCGCTCTATATAATTCTATGTCACATCTTCGTTCCGTTTATTATCGAAATATTATGGATGGTGATAAATGGACGCTGCGTGACATTTCTATTCTTCGCATAATGACAAATGCACTGCATAAAATTTTACCAATCTCCAAACTTTAGTCAGTGCACTAACTAAAAGTATTTGATATTTGCTTTAATATTTTTCCAGATATTTAATTTAATTTTGTTACTTTCGCGCAATGAGTTTATGTTGTTCTCCCTTGTACGTGCATTTAATTTTATATTATATCAGATATAAAAAGAATCGCTTTTACTTCAAACACGAGTGTAATGAATGGGACTGGCCTAATTATGAAGCTACGTAATGAGCGCCAAGTTTAACATGTGGCGCAATGTACTTTTGCGGGGATAAGCGTTAAGAGACACGTATACACACAATAAGTTTTCCATGTAGCAGTTGCGTGACTTCAACGTAATAACCATGCAAGCAATATCACGGTAATTACATTCTACTAGCGTGTCATAAAAGCAAGGCGCGACTCGATTTGTCGTTTAACGCTGATATCAAGTTTCATCATCCTTTTGCTGATTATCCTCAACAGCAGATGATTATCGTTGTAATATATTACACGTAATATCAAATCTACTTTTAATTTTCTAGTAATTTTCATCACGGGATTGTTACCCATGTTTACTAATGAAATTGCACCTCGTTGCTTCTCTTAATGACTATGTTTTGTGTTAATGACTTGGATATTCTTACTACTGAGATTAAACTATGTATTGGCCTTTCAGTAGAAAAATTTATATGCATAATAGCTTTTTAAATCCTTGTTGCGAAAATAATCCGAGTCGAGAAGAGGCATCAACGTCAATACCGGTTAGTGAGGATATATGTAATGGCTTTGCATATTATTACATTCTTTTTAATGGGAGAGGAGAAGTGTATACGATATTTCTCTATGTTATTATTGCATTCGCTTCATCCAATTTATGAGATTATTTAAGAGACGATATTACGAAAAGATCGCCATTATTATAAGACAATATACTATACGTTATATATGTATATATGTGTATGTATAACGTTAGTTTAAGTATGTGTGTATATATGTATATATGTGTATGTATATGTATATATGTGTATGTTAGTTTAAGTATGTGTGTATATATGTATATATAGTTTAAATAGTCAGTTTAAATATATATGTATAAGATAAGTTCGAGAGAAAAAAAGAGAGATATAATTTTCCGATATTATCACGTCTGATTGAACAAACGAGTAAATTCATCTCAACGCGATAAATTTAATTTGAATACCTTTCAATTTTTTTGCAAGGAGGATCGAATCGTGCAATTCTTCTAAGCGGTCATTATTACAACAGTTCGATTGACGTTGGAGAAAAGGGCATCGTCATTATTGATGAACGAGCTCGAGGTAATAATGGCGCGCAAATCGACATCTGTAAATCCTGCCTAAGGCCATAAAAGCCTGTATTCGCGCGACTAGTGTCTTTCGGGTGAACTTTAATATGCGTTCTATCCTCTATTATTTCCGTTAGTCAATCTGCTAGCAGCAGATCTCCTCTCGAGGCAGCTTCCGTATAGAACGCGCTTGCCGTTAATTGGATCCTCCAGATCCGCGCTTTGATTAATTATAGTGAAGCGTACGAGCTCGTCTATCGATAGGATCGCGAAAGATGTGCTCTAGCGCGAATAGCACTTGTCGATATTACTTTTTATTCGCGGCCCGTGATGCGATTCCGTTCTTTCACTCAATGCGCGTTTCCCTCTCTCTAATTGCGCATTTGCTCACCGCGGAATAAAGAAGTGATCTCTTCCTCTTCGCTCATTCACGAGATCCCTCTCCTATATTCACAATCTTCGCTTAAATATTTAATGATCAACTCGCTTTACGCATAGTGCTCTACTTTTCATGTTTCTACTTTTCATGTCTTTTTAATGTCGGGTGGATTTTATCTAGAAACTTAAACAATCTTTGCGATTCCATGTCTGCATATATATATATATATAAGAATTTTAATACTTATATTTTATATAATAAAATTATATTTTTGCTATTTTAAAAAATATAAATATAAAGTTTATATTAAAAAAATACATCCTAGCGATTGTTTTTTTCGATTAAGTAAATCTTGTGCGTGAATAATCGCGTAATAAGCGCGTTTAATTTGCAGCCTTTATAGTATATACAGTATTAAGAGAAAAAAAAGGATAGATACGTTTGTGAGATCAACGTTATACATGAAAGTGGGAAGATGCTCGTAATGATGATGTTTCCAATGACGTCCGATTCGGTCGATCATGACGATGCTTAGCAGTCGTTACATTAATGAGATGTGTTCGAATGTTCGCTCATTCGACCAGTTGGCCAATTACATTTCGTGTGAAGGGTCTTCAACGTAGACGGCCGACCGAACTACATCCATGGGCCCATAAATTTATTGGACGCTGATGGTTGCGTGCGTAACAATCGGCTGACGTCAAATTACACGGCAGGTAATAATCAGGCGTCAATGATGCCGGAAACAATGCGCATCAATATGGCGCTTTTCAACAATATTTCGATACTGTACCTAAAATATTTTGATTAAATTAGGAAAAAAAGTCTTGCTATAGAGATATATTTTTTTTGTGCGTGAAACAATGTTAATAAAATATTCTTGACAGAATCTAACTTTCGTAAGCATTATCAAAGAAAGATGTAAATAGTGAATATAATGTTAATATTAAAGATAAATTTCCATAAATATATATCTTATCCAGTCTTTATTGTTTAGATCTGGTCTTTTCAAACACACAATTTTCTTACATTCTCTGCTTAAAGTGAAACTTAAAGTGAAACAAGTACACGTTCATATTGTGAAGCAGAAAAATAGAAAAGAAAAATGTAGAGAGCTTCGAAAAGAAACGAAAAACTCGATTTTCTCGCACGCGACGATACTTTGACGACAGTTCAGAACTCTATAATGTCACCGTTACCTCTTCCATATATACAGTGTGCGAACAGCAGCCGGCGGTCCTTGTACCGGCAGTGATACTGCCGACAATTCTATCCCGGTTAATGGCCATCGATGACGACGAGCAATTAAATTAGCGCGGATTACGAAACGCTCGGTAGTGTGCGCGAAATGTACAAGAGAGAGAGAGAGAGAGAGAGAGAGAGAGAGAAGAGGTTTGCGGAGGGTAGAGAGGATGTGGATATAAATTTAGGGTAGGCATGGCTAAAACGGAACGATGTTTCAAACACATCTGTGCCGCGCGTGCGATCATCTCTTGTCTCTCTTTCTCTGTCGTTCTTTCTTGTCGTCTCTCTCCCACGCAATTTCCCCCGCTCTCTCCTATTTCCCCCATTCTCTGCATTCTCTCTCTTGATTCATTCTCGCTCCTTTTCTATCATTATCTCTGTCTCTTTCTCTCTCCCTCTTTCTCTGTCTATCTCCATTTCACCCCTTTCGCACACACGTTTATCCCCGACTGGCGAACACTCACCGTGCCAAACCCGAATCGACCTGACGCTCTCTGTAGCCGATTACAAATCTGACCAATTAGGCGCACGCTGCGCTTGCCGGATCAGAATTGGCGAACGTTCCACGGGCGCCAATGTTGGCGCCTAAGCGCTGTACGCGTTCTCTCTCTCTCTCTCTCTCCTCTCTCTTCGAAGATCGCTACGTCCTGTCCCAACGACCTCCATCCGTGCACCACCGCGTCATGTTCGCCACTCCCTCTCGCCGTCCGGGAATTAATATTAAATGCGGCGTCTGCGAGACCCCGACTTTGATCGGGAAACGCGGCTAATTAACGTTCATCCAGTATCCCTCTCCTTACACCCGTACAATTTTCGGGTTCGTTAAGTCATACCCTTGCCTTTCAAGCAATTTTCAATTGCATTTCTTCTACATCGTATTCTTCTTTTTCGTTTATAATAAAATACAAAATTAAATCAAAATAATCGGTTTTAGTAAAAAGCGATATTTAAGTAATAATATTGTAAGAAGTAATTATTATACACATCTTTTTTAAATTAATATATATTAATAATTTAATACAGAGAAATCTCTTGTTATATACAAAATTTATTATCTCGTGATAATTTATTAAAAACTACTGTAGACTATTAATCAAAGAGTTATTTGTTCTTCGATAAAGGAGTGATTTGTGTTTCTCTCTTTGTTTTTAAATTGCAGGGATGATATGAATATTTCTCTATTTTCACGCTATATCGATATCTTGAACCGCTTTTCAATATTTTGTCGGAGATGAGCGAATCGTTGCCCGCGCTGTTTTCCCATGGTCGAAAATTCGAGTGCACGCGCACCACAGTCCGACTATAATTTATTATTCGGTGTTGGACCAACGCAGTCGCGATCCATACAGGCTGCTCGCGTACGTGCATACTAGCGGTACTTTTGCAAAAAAAGACAGTGAGGAAGAGAGAGAGAGAGAGAGAGAGAGAGAAAGAGAGAGAGAGAGAAAAAGGGAAGGGGAGCGAAAAGGCGAGACCGAGCGAGACAAACGGAGCGCGAAATGAAAAAGAGGAACAGGGACAAAGGATGGGAGAGAAAATGCCAAAAAAAGAGGAACGGCAGAGCGGCCGTGTCGGTGTTTTATTGCCGGCGGATTTGTCGTATTGACCGACACTCGCGAGAGGATGAGAAGGAAAATCGAAAACGGGAGGGGCAAGAGTGAGACTCGTCTACTACCGGTCGATAAAATCAGTTGAATGGGATGCTTTGAGTATAATTTTCAAACAGATAGAACTTACAATAATCGTTGCAAACATATGATCGACGTCGGAATAAAAAATACCGGGAGAATCTCAGAAATATTTGTGAAATGTCATATACTCTCGCGTGCTATTTCGTAGATTTTAACATTCTTAATTTATATTAGAGTTATGCCCCGAGTTGCCGCATTTAAGCCAGAAATTTATAATCGCCAAGTAAAATTACGTAATTTCTCCCGGAGCAGGGCAATGCTCCGGGAAAGTTCCGACGCGGGTTATTTCGCGCGATATCGCCTCAAGGATTTCGACGAGTATTCCGCCAAGTTACAGAAACGCGTTGTAAGCAGATCTCGGTGAGATGGGATAGTTGTCGGTGGACGACGAACCGGAGGTACAAAGCGGCGCGTTGTAAAAATTACAAGCATTTCCATCTACAAACGATATCATCAATCCACAAGTCTCAGGAATAAAAGGCGAAATGAGTCCCGCTGTGAATACGTACGTTTATTCACGGCTCACGTCTCCCGGTGGTCCCTCTTTTCTCCCGAACGTGGCCCTCTCGTCCTTCATTCCTGCCTCTCATTCGCCTAAACCCCGAGTACGCTTTTTCCTTTCGGCGCGAGGGAGATTGAAACTGTGGATAGAGTTTCGTTGAATCTCACGAGAATCACGCACGCAGAGTGGAATTCGAGACACTTGAAGGCTCTTTACTTGAAAGTATGTACGGATTTCAATGCCATTAAACAAAACGCTCTAAAGCATTTACATCAGGATTGTTATGTAAATAAAATACGAAAGTTTCTTGTTTAGTAGTTTCTCAATAATCGGAACTGATAAAGATAATTGATGACATATATTAAGAGAGTTATTGATAAAGGGGATGTTGATAAAATATTTTATCAATAGTGACACATAATTTATCATAAAATAGTTAAGATTTAACAGTACAAAATAATGGTTATAATATTTCCATATACCAGCCTAATTTTATAAAAGTAAAGTTTCATTATCAAAAATATAAGGTTTATGTTAATTTAAATCCCTTAAACTTATATCAAGTTCACAATAACCAAAACTAGTTAAAAAAAAATAATAATAATTCCAAATATTTGCATCTGTAATTTCTTTATAATATTATTAGAATAATATCAGATATATTAATCTCTCTTTCAAAATCAAATCTAATAAGTTATTAAAAAGATAGAATCAAATACATACTTGCGTGAAAAAGCTCTTCATCTGTGTATTATGTATCGTGTATAATCAGTCTAAAAATAAAAACCAAGGGTCTTGAAACCCGGTGGCTGCTTCAACGGCCAATCAAGACGTGTTGAAGTATAATAGATAGAATTTTGGTCATTCACTATCGCGGAATTGATCGGAGGGTGACGAGAGAAAGGAAACAAAGTTAACGGAAAGCGGAACACGATCGGGGATGGGAAGAGAGGAAAAGAGAGAACCCTTAACACGATACCAAGTTCGACTTGAAAGGCTGACGTTTCCATCCTTTAGCGGGCACCGCACTTTAAACGCCGACGAGAACCAGCGACTCTCGGCTTCCATTCGCGTTATGATAGAAGCATTCGTCGAAGTCGGCGCGCTCTCGAATGACAGGAGGACGTAAATCTCGCATCGATGGTACTCGGCCGTGCTCTTCCTAGTTACGTGATAGTCTCTAACGTTCAGCCGTGCCGTAATGGGCTCTTTAACCTAAGTGTGTCAAGAACCATGGAGGCGGATCTAACATAATAAACTCGCCTCTCGATAGTATAACGCTTCTATCATTTAATGGAACGTGTAATTCTCGCGATATTTATTTCAATCGTCATCGAGGGTTTACAGAATCGCGGGGGAAACATATCACATAAAAACACACACATTTTTTAGTGAATATATATCTTTAACAAAAATATTTTGCACTACGTTGCGCGCGCGCGCGCGCACACACACACACATGAAGAGTTTGATTTTCGCGGAGTGAAAATAAAGGTAGAAAAAATTCCTATTAAATTCTGTGATAAATATTATGAAAGGAAATATAACCATATTGCAATATTTCTTTTTTATTGAATTAAAAATATAATTGTAAAATCATAGACACATATGTAAATTTTGGACTATAATAAAATTCGTGCAGAACAAGTCAAACGTAGATAACGCAACACGCAATTTTAATATGGATTTATTTAGATTAATACAGATCGAGGGAAAGACGATAGAATAAAGTTAAAATTAATAAATAAATTTATTCAGATTTAATATATACAGATCGCGAGGAAAGAAAAAAAAAAAAAAAGAATGACTATAACAAAGTTAAAATAAATAAATTTTGTTCCTTCGGCAATGTAGCTTCTTTTTAGCAACGAATATATAAAGCGCGAAAAATTCTTCGATATCTAGAGAAAACTCTTCACGTTCGCGCATAAAAAATTCACTTTGCATTTTTACAATTCGTCGGAAAAAGGAATCGACGCGGGATTGCCAGCGGCGAGATATAGTGTCGCTTTCGACACAGTCGAGGAGGACCTCCAACGTTTCGTCCTCCTCGCTCATAGTTTTGCGCACTTAAGGCACTCGTCTCCCGACGATTCAAATTTTAATTCAATTACGAGAACGACGAGGCTGCTGCACCTTTTCTTACGTCTTCGCCAGTCCGTTTATTTCTTTTTCTCTCGGGACTATCGTCGTCCCATCCACACCACCCTCGCCGAGTCCCCGCAGCGAAATCTGAATTTAATTATGACCCTTCACGTAGCCATTTTAGCACCCACACCACTGTCCGTGGCCTATCTTCCTCTCGCATCATCGGACGTAAAGTCGTGTGCGGGCTCTCTCCATTTTGTTCTCCTCCCTCCCCGCCCTTTTTTTCCAATCGGAGCAGGATCGCGCGAAGTATTTTAAATCTTAAAGGGCATTTAATAAATCCCATTATAGTTCTCGATCTTTCAGTCCGCATTTCATCGAATGTACCGCTGTATCAGTGACTTATTAATTTTGCGTCTCGATCAAAGCTTTAAAGATATAAGTAGCTTGAGATAAAAAAATTATATATACTTATATATATGTATAACGATAAGTATACATTCCGAGCGAGTATAATTAAAATCGTAAATATATTTCTCACATTATAAAAACATTTTCTCGTTAAAATGTATTTTTACAAATGTAATTCTGGGAGATTAATGCATATTTTCACACGCTTTGTGTGTCCAGAAGAAAAATATAAAGTATCAAATTTATTCTTAAGCGCAAGAATTTTCTTTAAATATATTTTGGAATCGTTGTTGCAAGATATCATTAAAATTTAAAAGCGTGCTTGATATTTGAAAAAAAAGCACTCAACGTTTTCGCGAGTTTTGAGCATTTCCTTCGAGAGTTGCAACGCGGGCGATCATTCTTTGCATCCTTGCCAAAGCATAGGGCTCCTTCTAATGGCGCATTCAATATTCGTAATGAAGAACTGTACCTACTTCGCAGTCTTCATTCATTCATCGCGAATCTCTTTGTCCGACCCTTGTTTTTCTTCGCTGAATGCGCGCGTACATACTTAGAATTCTCTTTCTTCATTGCTCCGCGAACCTGTTCTCTGTTTCTCTTTTCTCTCTCTCTCTCTCTCTCTCTCTCTCTCCTTTTTTTTTTAATTTATCCATCCAGCCATTTTGCTTCGGTACCGATTCCCCTCGAGACCTCATAGCTTCTACGATAATTAAACTAATACTAATTAAACGTACCGACGACCGTTAATTAATGGTTTCTGTATCATTCGAGCTCGCCTCGCATCGCCGTTTGTGATATTGCGTTATGTATAAGCGCGAGTTTGGATAGTTGCTAATTTTAATGCGACGCGGCCGCTGTCGAGCGACGGAGATTACATTTTCTCTCGCGTAATGTTTACATAATTTCCTTTCTCGTATTTTATTCGCCTAATATATTTTCCGCGCGCGTACACCGCACGCCTTATTAAACCCGTGAGCGAATTAATTTCGTACGAAGCTGGATTTAATAATTGAAAAAATAAAACGGTTGCCTGTGCTTAAAACACTTATCAGCAAACATATGTGTGTGTGTGTGTGATGTCTTGCATACTAAATATTATAATTATTTGGTAATTATGGGCAATATTTTATAATTGTATATGTGTATGCGTGTGGATGGATGTGATAACTTTTTCTTTTATACAATTTTAACTACTCTAAATATATATTTTTTAATGTATATTTAATTATAAATATTTAATCATTTTCTTTAAATATTTGCGTTATTTGTTTTAGTACAATTTAAATATACGTAGAATATTTAGAAAATATGCATTTAATCTTCTACTTTAATGCCAGAAATGTGCCAAATTTAATGTTATGTCGGGATCTTTCAGATGGCAGGAATCCGAATGAAAAGCATAAAAATCTAAATCAGTCCTTCTATACGACCTGGTATTTAACATGGTAGTAGAACGGGGTATTCTAATTAAACGGTACATGTCTGACCTCCGAATGGAATGCCAAGACCGGCATCGATTACCCAGCCAATTTGCGATGGGACTCGCAGCCTCTCTGTCCCCCTTCGAGTCAGTTTCCGTGAATCTCTACGAGGAAATGCTACGAATGCGGCTATATCTCGTGCTTAAAGTCGAAGAATGCGATGAGAATTAAGTCGAGAAACGATGAACCGGTAGAAATCGTGGCAAGAAGAAAAAACTTTATTTGTAAGCAATCTTTATTAACTAGAAGCCCTAGAAACAACGAAATAAAGAAAACAAAGAAAATAAAGAAAACATTTATTATTATATATTATCATTAAGGAGAGATAAAAAAAATATTATAGAGACTTTAGAAAAATACTGTACAATTTTTAAAAAAATTCCTATTTCTCTCTCTCATTAGTTTAAAAAAATCCTTATTTCATTAGTTTTTCAATTTTCGATCGTTGGAATGAGTTTCATCGCGTTTGCCAGGTTAAAAAGAATACTTTGAAAGTTGAAAGCAATGAAAAAGGTTATGAAGTTCTACTCGGCGTCTAAGATCGCGACCGTAAGTTTCCGCAAAATCTTGGGACGGAAATGAAAAAGCAAAGCACCGCTCGCAAGGGAAACCAGTTCGCGTCTGCAAAGCCGCAGCATATCCGCCACGCGTTTTCGCAGGCGGACTCGAGGTAGGATTAAGTAGCGACGCGTGCTTCCTGACGGCTCCATGCTCGGGCCCTTAATTCGCTCCTCGAGGGAACGTGACCCGGGAATAAATTTGAATTTGCGCAAACTGCACTTACCCTTCGCAACGAAGAGACTCGAGAAAGAGAGAGAAGAGACAGGGTTAGTAGCTGTGTTCGCAATTCGACGGTGAGTAGACAAAGAGAGAGAGAGAGAGAGAGAGAGAGAGCCAAAACGACGACTTTAATAGCCGGTACAATGAAGACCAGGCGGACAGAGGGTTGGGGGAAAGGGGAAAGGGTGATCTTCGAGTCTTTTACGTCGCACTTGACGAAACAATAGTCGAACGAGCGAGCCGGATGGAACGATAGACTGGCGCGTTGTCGGACGGAGAAGAAGGCGAGTCGAGGAGCGCCGGGGAGATGAAAACGGAGGGTGTATTCTCGGTAGACGACGACGACGACGACGACAACGACGACGACGACAACGCGCAATCCGTAGCCCCGGGTCGGGTTTTAACGACGTGCTCGGACACAGTCGTCGTATCCCTCCACCTCGATTTGCACCGAGTTGCCGCTTGCTGCATGCAAACCTCGTACATCCCCCTTTACCCCGTCGTGACCCCGCCGATCCTCTTGTCCTCGTTGATCCATTGAGGTCGTTTCGCTCTCGTGCACGCCCGAAGCGTAGTGAACGAGAGAGAACGGCTTCGCTTCGCCGATACTATTATACTAAATTCTCCCTACACTCCGCGACCCCGCGCGCTAAACGTTCGCTCTGGCAACGAAACAAATCCCCCCCCGAGGTGAATGAGCTCGAATAAATAGCTGTGCCAATGAACGAGCCGTTAAGAAATATTGCTGAATAATTTAAGACTCTCTTGTTAAATAAAAATATTGTATTGTTATACTTTTCATCATATAATTAAATTAAAAGGCAAAACGGGAATACGAACTCGATCTATCACGATTCAAGCTAAATTTGAATTGAATATTAAAAATATTTTGTAATAATAGCATTAAGAGTATTAATGATTAATGTAATATCGGCAATAGATTAAATTATATTGTTATAACAATGACAATAAACGATTGATGAATAATGATGATTGAATAATGATGATGAATGATGAGACGATGCATCATTATATGTATAAAAAGCACGTTCGAGAAGAGAAAATTATTCATAATAAATACTTCCGTGTAATTTTATTCGCGAATTATGCAATCGATATTAGTTATATATCGCTAGCTTCCTTCAGATCCGCTCTCTTTCTCTTTCTTCATCCGTCCGTTTCCATCGCTCCCTTTCTCTCTCTCTCTCTCTCTCTCATAATTAAATTAAAAGGCAAAACGGGAATACGAACTCGATCTATCACGATTCAAGCTAAATTTGAATTGAATATTAAAAATATTTTGTAATAATAGCATTAAGAGTATTAATGATTAATGTAATATCGGCAATAGATTAAATTATATTGTTATAACAATGACAATAAACGATTGATGAATAATGATGATTGAATAATGATGATGAATGATGAGACGATGCATCATTATATGTATAAAAAGCACGTTCGAGAAGAGAAAATTATTCATAATAAATACTTCCGTGTAATTTTATTCGCGAATTATGCAATCGATATTAGTTATATATCGCTAGCTTCCTTCAGATCCGCTCTCTTTCTCTTTCTTCATCCGTCCGTTTCCCTCGCTCCCTTTCTCTCTCTCTCTCTCTCTCTCTCTCTCTCTCTCTCTCTCTCTCTCTCTCGTACTGTCACATCGTACCTTTTATGATCCGAGCCTGCTTTGCCAGCCCCGTCGCTTAACATGAAAACTTTCGGCCGTCTCATCCCATCGCGGCTGCGTCCGCCGGAGCTTTATTGCACGCGACGTTACACCATCGACAACGATGACAGTCTTCTATTGCGTGGGCGTTTCCACATACACGACAGCAGATAAGTGCTCGCGCCAATCGGTGATCAACACGATGCGAAACACGTCGCGAAAAGTCCTTCGGACCATAAAACGCATAGTCGGATAATTAAACATCGCGATCGATTACGCGCTCTCTTTTCGACGAAACAGCATAAACATCCTTTTAAATATCTTTAAAAAATATAGAGAAGTGAAATATGCGACATAAGCGTAAAAAAAAAAAAACAGTTTCGAATAAATCAAGAGACAAGAAACTACGATGTGTGATAAAAAATATAATTACGAAGATATAGGCATAACGAGAGGAGAGCGAGCGGTGTTAATAGCAGCGGGAATAAAGTGTAGTAAAAATTCATTTGCATATTAGAGGGAAGATATGAAAAATATAAAAAGCATGAAAAATGTTCTTGACGTTTTCCGAGCGTAGCAAGAGAGAGTGCATAAAAAGCTTCAAAAAAAAAAAAAAAAAGAAAAAAAAAAAAAAAAAAAAAAAAAAAAGAAAAAAAAAAAAAGGAAAAAAAAAAAAAAAAAAAAAAAAAAAAAAAAAAAAAAGAAAGAAAGAAAGAAAAAAAACAAACAAACAAAATTAAATGAATTTCGTAATAAATTACGGCAAGAGATAGACAGCTAATTAATTAAAGTAGCGATTCGCAGACGCGCCCGTTGCAAGACGGCGTTTGTGTCCCAAGCACGAAATATTGTATAATGCACGACAGTCATAAATAGATAGGCTTCGCGGTTTCGCAGGTAATTTATGCACGCGCGCGAGTATTGTACACGTGGTGTAATACCGATGAAGGTTTCGCGCGTGCTACGGCCACAGAATGCGAATGCTCTCCCCTCCTGTCCTTTGTGACACCTGCGTCTCATCTTTCGTCTACCATCTCCGTATATATTGTATCTAGATTCATCACGACAAATACGGCGGTTAAAGAATTGCTATTTGTAATTGAAAATTCTCTCGCTGCAAGAGTGTTTAATTGCTTGTTAAGAAAATTTGATGTAAACTAATGATTTAGTTATATTATTGATTGCTTTGATGGAATTATAAATAGCGGAGTACGGTTATAGAAAAATCGATCTATAGTGTCAAATAGAAATTTTACTTATTAAAAATATTATCTCTTTGTTTTTCATATTATTAATAATTAATTTCAAGTATTGCCATATACTCTCTTCATATCCATTAAAACAAAATTTAAATATGATAGTTTCAGTAAAAATGAAATCTTTAAATCATTCATTCTTATATAACCGAGTTTTTAATTTTTAAGTTTTATTATCTTGCAAACGTCTATCATCTCTGACGTACGTCTACAAGATTGCTAGTAGAATCAAATACACTATATAATAAAGTAGTACACTACAAATAGAGATTAGTTGTATATAGAATCTAGAAAATGATAGCTAATCGGAGATAACGAGCAGCTGCAATTGCTATTGGCGTAATAGATCCCAAGGCTCTCTATTTGTAACAAGAAAATTACCACTATCTCTTACCAAGTAACGTTCTCTACATCGTACAAAGTATCACTCCAGCAAATAGTTAAATCCTGTATAGTATTGGGAAATGTTAGAGTTTCGCGCGGTCAGTTCCGTGTCTACGAGTGCGTATTGCCTTCCGTTCTTCGTCACGACTATATCTATCTATCTATCTATCTATCTGTTAACCCTCTCAACGGAAATCAGCTCGTAGGAGTGAGTAGATCCCAGAGAAAGAGAGTAAAGGGGTCACGTAATATAGAATCTATCATGTGGATAGAAGAAGGAAATCTATTAAACTGCTAGATGATATAAATTTTCTTTATCATTATCGTTACATTTCCTTCAATGTTTGCAAATTAAAAATAATAATGAACAAAAAGACAATTTTTATAATACGAATATAATCGTAAATAAATCTATTTATAATAATAAAAAATAATCTCTCTCTCTCTCTTATTCTATTCTCTTATCATCTAATAATATTCCTCAAGCACTATCCCCGGTAAATAGCTAAATCACGTCCGCTATTTGAAAATGCTATCTCATCGTGCGTGTGCGAGAGTGCGTCCTCTCTTTTCTCTCCATTCTAGCACCTGTACCACCACCTACCTACCACCCACCAAACACCCCCTCGCCTCGACGGAAGCCAGCGCTCGTACGAGAGGGACACCGTGAAGAGGGGCAACCACCCCGCGCTACTACCTCCGACAGAGAGGAAAGGGATGTGGAGAGGGTGGCACGCATGCGCCCCTGACACTCGCGGGGGGTTACCCGGCGCGATCAGTCGTGGCCGGCGGTGCCGGAGGCCAAAGACTCTCGTCGCGAGGGTAGTAGACGTGTGCGTCGCGTTTTCCGCCGGACCTCTCCCGCTCTCGGGTCTACTTATCTGTACCCTTCTTTATCCCTTTTCCCTTTTTCCATCGGCTTCCGCGTCCTCGCCGTCGCCGTCGCCTCCCCCGCGTACATCGCCGCGCGATATCTAAACGCCGCCGGCTTTTAGACTGGCCGCGTGCCGCGTATGCACCGCGTGCACTCGCAGCAGCATCGCCGTCGACACCGCGACGACACGCTGCTGCTGCTCGTCCTCGTCGTCGGCCACCATCGCCACCACGTCCTTGAGCCGTGCGTCGTGCACGTCGCCGACGACGACGACGGCGGCGACGACACCGCGGCAGATCAGGGTGAGCATCAGGGTGACGTAGTATTCGACCACAGGATCGAAGGATGCTGGCCCGCTGTCTAATCTTCGCAGGTAAATCCATTTCTCTAATGCGTCTTTCTTTTTATCACTATTCTCCGATTACGAATTGAGTTTCTCGGCAGTGAAAATAGAAGGCGGACATATAAGTAGAATAAGCATTGTGTCTCGTAAAAACGATCTGTCTTTTTAAAGCTAATAATCGTATCACCAGTTTTAAATTATTTACACTCTTTTTTTGGACTGTAATGTTACTTACACAGGCAGCAAATGGAAGTTTAGTAAAAATTGATATTACTGGCGCTCACAGGAAGCAGTGAATTTAAATCGCACTCTCAACTTTCTCATTTTCATGTAGAATATCGAGGATTATAATATATACTAGATCGCATATATATTGGATTTTGTCGTTTTTATGAGATTTTATCTTACGATAAAAAGGAGAAGGAAATCTCACAAAAAAAGAGGATTTTTGCTTATCTTTCTGCTCCGATATAGTTAAAAATGTTTGATATTGCTCCATCATTATCCCGACGGTTATCTGCCGATTTTTGATTAAATCTTTGCTGAGATGGATGTGAGTTTTTTTCAGGGAAATTCATATTTATTTAGGGTGCGAAGGATAGTCGCCGTTAAACATATATTTCATGGTGAAAATTTTATATAGGGACTGGAAAAACGCTCCTGTGCCGTCGCGACAAAATGTCGCATCACTATATTAAAAAAGGGGAAAAACTCTTGCCAGAATATTGTACTTTTGATACAACAAAAACGTCAAAGTTTTATGTTTAATATGAATTAAATTTTTTCTTTAAATTTACATAAAAAATTAACAATTTTTTCATACATGTAACCCCTGAATAGCATGTTCATCGCATCCGAATTTAAACACTTGAGCTTGGGATTTTGCACCTTGAATAAGATAATGTTTTACATTTGGCGTCGACAGAAAAGCAACTCGAAACGGTCACAATAATTTCTATCTCGTATTTGTCCTTTGCCATTGTTACCACAGAATATATGGAATAAAATCTGTCCCAGATGGAAAAACTGTGTTATAAAAATTTGCTATTCTCAACATAATCTGGACTGTGACGTCGGCGGCGTGTAATTGAAGCGATCGAAGTGTATCGCGGCGCGTAAATTTGTTCGTGCGAAAGTTTTGCGTCGCGTCGCGTCCGTGCTATCGTGACGCCGGTTACTGCACGTCCATACCATTTTCCCGTGGAAACAATTTCAGTACAGCTGTCCAACTTCCTGCGCGTGTAAACGCCCGTGTGACACATCGTGCGCGCGTGTTCTCCCGTGTCCATAGTGTGCGCGGCGCGGTGTGTTTCGAAAAGTTTCGCTGGGAATGAGATAGAGCGATCGTGTGAGCCGTGAGTGCGCGCGCGAGAACACGTGACACTCGCGGAAATCTAATTCGCGAAACTGTACGGTAACGAACCCTCGCTCTGCGATTGAAAGGAAACCGAGTGGATGCACTCGAACGAGAATTTTATGCGGTATCTACGATGTACGAGACGATAATCGCGCAAATATGCGATATTTGAAATAGAAAAACGATATTACAGGTGAAAGAATTTTATTTGGGGAAAAATTCAATACGACATTTTGCAAATCAAATTTTTTTTTTTTTCTCTAAATTGACTCTTCTACACGATTGGATCTCGATTTTTCAAGTGGAACAGAGTATATATTATATATAGAAAAATTACAGAAAAATATAAAAAAATTATACAATCTCTTTTTAAAGCCAACAATGAGCGAATGAAAAACAAGCAATGGGTATAAAAATAATAAAGTAAAAAATAAAATTTCTGTTTTCAAACGTAGCCATTGGGTTTCTTCGTTTGTTGAAAAACATAGATATTTGTGAAAATAGCTGCATGTGCAAGTAATTTCTCAATATCCATTTATCATTATTTATACATGGCTTACGCATTAAAATAATATTTGCGTCATAGCATTATCATACAATGAAACTCTGCTTTATTTAACATTGCACGATAAGAGAAAAGAGATATGGAAAAGAGAAACATATTTTTCAATTGAAATCGTGATATCGATCGTTAAATTGTCTCTTTGGGCCACGATATTGGAGATCTCTTTTAGCGAGCTTACTCTCCCGAAGCGTAATTATTTAAGCCAACAAATGAAAAATCGCGCTACCATGAGAGTGCATAAAAAGCTTCAATCTCTGTGATTCCATTTATCTCGCATAAGAACGGTAATTAATCGCGAAAGTCAACTGTATCGTCCGTCTCCTTAATAACTTCACGATGCATAAAGACAAACTCGAGACGCGTATAAGGAAAAACTATCAATTACAAACTTCTCGACTTCCTGCTATGCGTTCGTCTGATGGTGGCAGCGAATGCAATCATCTTTTAGACAATCGAAGATCCGAGAGAAAAGAAGAGAGAAAGAGAAGGGTCGATAACGATCGCGATGCATCTTAAGATTCCTCTCGTTAACGTTCCTGCTTTCTTCCACTCCCGCGCAGGAAGCTTTCCGTAGTTTCCTGAAGGAGCTTGCCATCGTTGTCGTCGTCGTCGCCGTCGCCGTCGCTGCCCTACCCCCTCGTTCCGCACTAATTGCGGACAATCCCGGACTTGAAATCTCTCGAATCCGGGAAAGCCTTTAATCTCGACGGCCGTGCCTTAACGATGTCGCCCGTGTTTCGTAGAACGACGTTCTGAAATTTAAGCGCTCAGGCAAGCGGAAGAGCCACCCTTAATAAGGCTTCTTTCCTTTTACCAAGTAATATTCTTACTTTTTCTTTATCCTTCTCGTTCTTGCTCTTCCCGCACTCTCTGGGATGACCGGTATTAATGAAATATTTTTAATGATTAAGTATCTTTTTAAAGTAACTTTTTGTTAGTCAGCACAGAAACATAATATGCAAAATTTAAAATAAGTAGATATACCGGCTGATTAGCTACGCTTTATGGACGTTTCTCTTTAGAAATACACATAACAATGCATTGTCTAATTATATAGCATGGAAAGTTTAATCACATCGCGGCAAAAGCCTGGATGAACGAGTCAGAAAATTGCAATTAAGAACGTAGAAACTACCTGATGAAAGATGCTGAAATGCAGAAAATGAAATTGAAGAAGTTGAAAGTTTAGATAGACGTAAGACGTAAACATCAATCCTTAAGAAATCACCCGAGTGTAATGAGATGCATGTAATAACATTTTAACAATAAATCAGAAATTTGAAAAGTTCTCTCAATCAAAAAATATTCGTTAATCATAAAAAATTTAACAAAGAAATCACTCTTATTGTGCGAAATTTTCAATTAATATTCTCTTCATTTAAAAACCTAATAGAATATTTTTTAGTTCTTTTTTAGTTTAAATTCTATTGATAGGTCTGATTGATTAAATATATCCAGTGATTGCTAACTATTTTCTAGTCGACCATGCAGGTTCTGTTATAATAGAAAGGTTCAGTTACTACGATTAGCGTTAACGCACGTCGATACAATTGGTCTTTTGTGCAGGCTACATTCCTGCCGCTTTAACTGTGCTTTTAACCCGTATCGTACGGTAGGTCGCACTTTTCGGTGCCGCAATAAATGCGCGATATTCGCTTCCGAGGGGTGTATTCAAAGTGCGGTCGCTGCAACGCGCGGGCGGATATACGTGCCGAGTGACGAAACCTGCTAATTATTTCTCACTCGGAAACGCCGGAAAGGCATGTCGGCGACAGCGCGCGGATTTTCCAGTGCACCGCCGTCCGACCAAAGCTGATATTTTTCTACATTCATTCCAAGCGCTTCCATTAAACCTCTGCGCTCCGTAAAATTGTTTGAGAAAAAGTAATTTATTTTTATGGAATGTGAGACGTAATAGAGTACATCCGAAAAAAAAACCGGAAACTTGCAAGTGTGCAAGTGTTATGCGCTGCAATTTAATGCACACTCACTATCAAGAAAGATTATGTATGATATAAGCATACAATAGTTTCTCTGTTATTATTTCGTATCAAATAAATAATTTTATCTGCCTCTTCTCTGAAGTAAAATAATCCCTTGGTAATAAAAGAGTTAATAAAAATCCGTTATAAAGAGAGAGAGAGAGAGAGAGAGAGAGAGAGAGAAATTAAGTATATATAAAATTCTACACAATATGAACGATCTCTAATACAAATAGGTTATTATTATTAATTATCTCGTAAATCATAAACATTCAGCTGTGTAATTTAAATATATTACAACGATTTCGATTTTTTATATCACATTGAAATTATAATTGGGCCCGAGCGTGCCGTACTTACATATACGGTACCGAGTAGCGCGCCATGCTTTTTCCACTTTGCCCGCCTATGCGTAGACCGTGATTATTCTCTCGCTGGACGGAATATAATTTGATTGCAGTATTTAATATAATCTTCCATTACGTTCTGTTAGATAACACAGGTCTGCATAATTTTATATTTTTTCTGCGATCTAGAAAAAACCAGTATAGTTTCCTGTAGTTTTTTGTGCGCTAAATCCAAATCCGTAAAGCAAAATAGTCCATCACGTCAGGTTTTAGAGAAAAATGGGGTTAAAACCTTCCAAAAACGCATTTTTTACCATTTTCGAAAATTTATAGCTGGCGAACCCGATGTGCAAAAGACTTCAAACACGGCTCAAATAAAAGCTTGAACATTGTACTTTAATATAAAAATAGCGAATCTTTTACCTCAGACGCGCTTTGTTTTTAGGTGTAGCCACACTGTGTCAAGTAGAATGATTGCCCCATACAATCCGATTGCAAACAGTAAAAATTGTAATCATAGACTTAACAGAGATTAAAATTTAACGCTTAATCACATTAAAAACGTTTTTTTGTTCATTTGTTAAGAAAATTATTGTTTAAACAATTTTTAAAAGATAACAATTTTTTCCAAATATAATTAAATATTCCATTCTTATTTATTAAATACACTATTTAAATTTTTACTATTAGCAATAGTTTTACAGTCGGACTGCATGGTGCAATCGTTCTACTTGACACAGTGCGACTACACCTAAAAACAAAGCGCTTCTGAGGTTTGA